TTCTCCAAATCTTTTGTTTTCAAATATTGGTAAACAAACACATTACTAAAAAAAAATCATATCTGAAAAATAAAATGTTCAAGAATTACTAACTGTTCTTTTTTTTTTTTTCCTCCAAAATATTATCACTGTTTGTCGCCAACTGTCTATTCTTTACACCTAACCCGTATATTACTGAATCACCATAAATTAACATTCACAGCTTTTACAGTTTACAGCTTCTACAGTTCACTTTTTTTTTTTTTGAACTATATACGAAACTAATGACCTATTATAGTGTAAATAGTTATATAAAGGTCAAAATTTTAAGTAATAAACAGAAAAAAAAAAGACAACTGAATATAGTTGGTTTTTAAAACACCAAACAAGATAAACGACTGTAGTATATGACAGCCTGAAGATCGAATTTGTTCACTTTTGTAGGATGAGTAAGAAAATAGCACAAATTTAAGTGTTGTTAATCATTCTACCTTATCATCGTTTACCAATGCTGATAGACGGTCTTTACCCCGTAAACAACAGTATAACAGCATAGCAAAAAAAAGAATATTACTGCTTTTAACAATCAATTCAATTCTATTCACGCACGTGTAATGAATCTTTTTTTGCTGCTGAATCAGATCCATCAACAACAGTAACTTATATTGCAGCAATTTAATATTGTTCAGATTATCATTTCGTTTTTATAAGTACCTTCTAAAACCTCAATTTTTATTCGTTTATTTTACAATTCTGTTACTAAGCAGCAAAACCACTATATATGAACTAGCGAAGAAGATAAAAAACTATGCTATTGTAGAATCCTAGCTGGTATTTTCACTGGATTAAAGCTATAATACAGTTTAAGTGTACTATAAATTCATCCGCTTTAACGGTATACTTTACCTGCGGTTTCTAAACATGGCAACTTTGTATATTTTAATATGTTTAACACAGGAAAGACCAATAATAGTTGAAAACATTCATTTTTGACTCTTACAAATACTGTATTTACGTCGTAGTTGTAATCCCTTGTAAAGATGACTTCATTAGCGTTCAGAATTGTTTTAATCCAAACAAGTAATGAAGTAGTTTGAAGGCTACTGACTTCCTTGGAGCAGAACAATGGTCTGATACGTAACGTTTGTGCAGAGAAAAAAACCCACTGACCTTCATAACCGGTAGGTGAGGTGATAAGTTTCCATCAATTGCATCTTCCTTCGCCTACACTTTGGTTAAATTACTGTTACGATCTACTGCCTTAAACCCTAGTCCTGTTATTACTCTTATTAAAGTTCTTTAATAATGCCGATAGAAAAAAATAAACTACCTTATACTGTTCATTGTTGACTAATAACTTCAGTATTCGACATTTTTATTGCAGGCCTACACACCAGAAACATACGAATCATCTTAAACTTTGCCGCTAAGAAAAAATGTTGAAAAGATAATCAAGAAAAGAAGGTTGTCAAGTCAACGCAATTTAATTCCACATCTGCATCTCCAACAATAAAATAGAAAATTAAAAGTTTGATACCAAAAAACCGTATCAACTCATGTTCAAAACGTAAAAAGCTCAATATAAAAGAAAAAACTTGATGCTAATACATAATAAAAAAAAAGCAATTTTTTTTCCTGTTTTTTTTTCTTGACTTCTAAAATTTTTAGCCTATAATCTACAGAAATAAAGGCAGCTTAAAAAGTTATAACAATTTAATGTCAGTGCAGCAGAGAAATTTATAACTTACAAAGGTTCTATAAAAAATTAAGCCACTGTAAAAGAATTTATGTGGAAGCGGAAAAAAACATTTATTCTTTCCAACAAAAAGTTTCTTGTATAATCATCCAAAACGAATTCAAAAACAAGTGCTATGTACATTAAGAAACAAAAAAAAAAGATATATACCCGCACAATACTATAGTACAATAATCGCAGTGTTATAATGAAGACGATTATACAAACTTTTAGAGCTAGCATAAAATAAGAGTTAAAAAAAGAACAAAAAAAAACAGTAATGAAACATTTGCAGAGAACAATTTAGCAGTATTGTGAATTTACAGTGCCAATAAAATTGCTATGGTATGCGTTAATGAGCACCTGTCTGAGTTCATCATCGAAGCATTGTAGCATTTTATTTCAGTACAACAAAGTAGTTGAGAAACATTTTCAAATTGAAACTGAGAAATATGTTGAGGAAATCATGAAACTTAAAGGTAGAATACCGCATTTCATCGTACTCAGTTTACAGATCCTTTTGGGCAAGTGCAGCTGTCAAAGCTCCAACGACAATGTCAATAATTGCACCAAGAAGGCTAGCACATGCCATGTAAAAGCTATATCCCAGTTCACTTTTGTATCCTGATCCTCCTACTATACCTAAAACTATTAGATTAGACTGATTACGAAAAATCAAATTGATTTCAACTCAAAAATAGTTTAATTTTCAAAATAAATAACACAAATTGTTCTTACTATCACGGCATTTAAACAAGAAGAAAAATAGAATGCATATTTGTAAATCAACATCAATTACTTTATTCTACCTCTACTTTTCTACTCAATCAGTCATCTAGTAGAAGCTAGTAGCAAAAACCATAATATTATTCGCTAAGTCTGCCTGAGACTACTTCGTTAAAATTTCATACCTTCACCACTGTTAATTCCAAAGATGATTAACGCAGCAGCAAGAAGTATTGCTAAAAGTAGAGCCACAGCAGGCAGAGGATGGACAACATATTTCTTGCAACAACATGCGAAAATGGTAAATATTGTCCAGATAAGGGCTATAACCTCAGCAACAGCTGATAAACACATCAACACTATAACTGCTTTCATCCATGTTTGAAGACTCTAAAAAGTGAAACAATTTACTGCTGCCATTTTGCAGTAATTCTTCTGTATTCTGCTAATCCCTTACGTCAAAATATTCCTTGCATGCCTTTGCATCAACATCGTCAGAACCGCATACGAAAGCAAATAAAGTTTTTGGATGAGGTATTCCAGTAATTATATCGTTGTTGAAATCACTTTTTATTTCTGACCAACCTGCAAAATACTTCGTAAAATAAAAAAAAAAAAAAAGAAAACAAGTACTTTTTCACAACTTCTTTTCTTCACTCTTTAATTAAAACGAATTCATTTTTCTTTTTTTTTTTTTTTTTTTTCTAATTCACGTTTGGAACACTTTTGTAGTAGAAAACCTGAAGAGAACATAGCCCCTAATGTGAGACCCAATGTGCCCAACATAATAGCTCCATAGAGCACTTGTCCTAAGAACGAGCAACACATCGTCAGCAAATGCACCTGTAATTTAACTGTATTATGTGGCGTATTTTTCCTCAACTTTTTATAAAAATTGCCGTGTTTGTTAACAGCAGTTGTAAATATTTTGACAAAAACAACAATTTAATTTTTTTTTTCAGTTTACAGACGTCAAAGTATTTTTTCTTTGGTATTCGATACATAAAGAATAACAAATCATCCAGTAGTAGAAGAGATTAGGAGTTTTGTATGGCAAAATATTGAATTTCACAAAGACTTTTTCGTCAAATCAATAAATAATTATATGTGCTAAGCCAAGAAAAAAATTTCCAACTGACGTAACAAAATCAGTACAGACTACTCAAAGGCTGAAAACAACAGGTTACTATTACTACAAACAAACTCTACCAAAAACAGTCACGAAACACAGTTTCCATAGAACGAAAACTCAAAAAATAAGAGTCGTTACAAATTGGAAACCACGGTGAGGTCAGTGAACAACTGGTTGACTGTTTCATATATATCAACACTAGTCTGCCGCAGATCACCAGAACTCGAAGTGTGATTGGAATGATGGTAGGTTGCACCCTCAAAGCACTATTAAGTGCGCCTAATAATGGGTTTTGAAACAGCATTCATTATAATATAAGAAGCTTTCCAAGAACAGTCAATATTTTATTTTAGACATCTTTAAGTATAGCAGAAGCATATTCCCTTCGCTCATTGTTATCGCACATGTTTTGTAAAGGTAAAAACAGACCTCATAAGGGATCTGAAATTGCAAGGATGACCCAGTGCAACTGAATATAATCAAGTTCTATTATGTTTGCAAACAAAAGGATATGTTTGCAAATTTTATTTGCACACCCAATGACACACAAAGCAAACGTCTTCACCAACTAATCGCTTCAAAAATTTTTCCACTGTAAACAGTACTGTTGGCATTATGAGTAAAAGTTAAGTTGATCCTGAGCACGCCTAGATTTATTCTGTCAACAGTTTCGATCAATTTTTTGAACTTTGTTTTCTAAAAAACTTCAGTGACACTTGTATATACATACTTTCTTTTTTTAAATAAACTCTCAATTAAGTTTAAAGCATAAAGCATACTTTTAAATTTAAAAAATAAAGCGTATTTTTGTCTGCTAGGAAAACTACTCCCAGAAAGCTTTAAACATACTCCGATAAAGAGCTAATTTGAAATGATACATGAAGAATCATCTAAAAAAGGATAAACAATTCAAAAAAAAAATTTGCCAAAAGCGAATCAACCTTTTTTAATACGCTTTTCCAGCTGAGACTTACTGAAAGCCGATTTCATACGTCGGCGACCAAGTTAATTACCGGTAATACACTAACTGACTGGCACTTAAAACCAATATGTTTAATCAGTCATGCAAAACCTTTGAAAATGTTTTTTTTTTCAAGTCAAAGATCCAAATCTCATTTCATCTATTCCGAGTAGAAATACTAGCTCTTGTCTTGAACAAAAACTTTTGCGCTCAAAAAAAGATGCTTAGATTAGACAGGTAAAAATAGTAAAAAAAATATGCTAAGCCAAAAATACTGTCTCAAATCATGGCTTATTTAAAGACACAAACAAAAGAAGAATTATTCGGGCAAGAATGGAAAATGAGGTTAGTCATTCGAAAATTACACAGAAAAAATTGCTAACATAAACACTTCGGTATTCTGCGGTTCCAACTGGCTAACAGTAGCCTAAAAATTTTCGTTAACCAATTAACCAAAAAAGACTTTTAATCCATATTTTTTTAAAGCTTTAAAACGTTACCGCACGTACAGTAATTCAATAACGATAGAATAAAAATGCTAAGTTATCAATCTATCAAAAATAATTTCACTAATTTATCACAACAATTAACCAAAGTTAAACATTTATGACAATGGATAAAAACTGAAGAGAGGAATAGGAATGGACAAAACTGAAATATTTTTAGTAATTCCACAAGTTGAAAAAATTGTGACGGCTTCGAAGATTTGCCGACATGCCGCTGATTATGCATCTTTCATTTTTTATTTTTTTGCTAAAGTAAAGTCAGATCAACATCAACCAAACTGTTGAACATGTATTAAATGCAAAGTTTAGTAGTTGTATAACGGCAGTAAGAAGATAAAACTGAATAACTGCGGCTGCTGAAACCTAATTCTTGAAGTTGTATCGTCCTTATTTTTCACATTTTTTCTTCGAAAAAAAAAAGAAGCGTAGGAAAAGACTACTATCGGTGACATCAACGATGTTTATTGTGCACAACCAATATACATAAAAGTGCACATTTTAAAGCTGAGCAACGTATAACTCACAAGGCGAGTATCTGAATGAACAAAGAAACTAAAATCCATACACATTTATACAGCCGGATCAACGGCGATGAGTCATCATAGAGAAAAGTAAATTTAGATACTGACACTTTGGAAATTTGTGATGATGTCATCTGAGTTACAGTTTTTGTTGTTTGACCGTGATTACTGTTGAGAAGGCACTGCTTTGAGCCGTTTGTAACCTGAAGAAAGAAGGTCGTTCCATTTGGACTGTCTGTTAAGTACATGCAAATTACCAAATTATATACTAAATGCCGCTGGTGGTATTATTGATGTCATTGTTGTCGCCAATTTCTTGTTTCATTATAGATTTATAGAAAAGTTTTTTGTCAAATTTTTCTGTTTAGCAGGTTTATTTACAAGTCAAAGTTGAAAACTAGTAACAGGTATCCAAAAGTGATGATGGAGGCTCAAGTTTTCCTTATTTCTTTTGTCTTCTGAATAGGCAATTAAATCTGTGATTTATCAGAAATTTACCGAAACTTTTAAGTGTCAGATACACTAAGCACAGCACAGCAATACTGACAATGATGAAATACTGATGAAATAATTTCTAAAAATAAATTCTTCAAAAACCTTTAGCGGTATTAATATTGATTTTAGCAGGCTTATTACTGTTTACTACTAAAATCTGGATTCAGTATTGAAGAAATGACGGAAAAAAAATACAAGACTTAGCAATAACCAGTTTCCTTAACAAATATTCTAACAGTTCGTTGGCAACAGAATTTTTTTTTCTTGACAATAGTTTATTAGTTCTATTAATTTTTGTGACCCGGACATACCAGTGACTTGAAACTTTTTGCTTCTGCTTTCGCCAACATCAATTTATGTTGGTAGCAGGAGATCATAAATGTGATGTTTGTTGAACTTTTTTCTTTGTTTAATTTTAAAGTTGATCTTTGTACTCTTAAATGCACCTATAGGGATAGTTGTGTTATAATAAAGATTGTTTCAACATTGCAGAATGAAAAATAAGAAAAAAAAGGGAAAAACTTCAAGTGCTAATTGGTAATCTAATCTTTTGCATACTTTGTTTGGATCATTTTTAGGTCGTTTATAAATGCACACATTTTTGCCTTTTCTTATTTATATACCTTATAAGAACAATGCTGGTGGTTTGTTGGACAAACTTTTTTCTTTTTTTTTTTCCTCGACTATTGAAAATGCTGAATCACTGAACACAGCTGATAGACCAAATAACTGTTAACGTCAACTGATTTCATCAAAAAATTCTATAGTATATACTGTCATCTATAGGTTATTGCAAAGCAAATGCGCTGTTAAACCTATAAAGAGGAAAATGTGATTGAAAAGATTTTTTTTCGCTTAATAAACCTTTAAAATGAATCATCGTTTAAGCAGCAAAAAATCTTCTGCACCTTTTAACATTCATTTGCATTAATCGGTTACATTTTCACCGATCATCAGAGTTGACTTTAACTGCAACAGTATCAATGCCTGGGAAAAAAAAAACGTTATTACCACTAAACCAGCTTAACAACATCAAAAATTCTTCAATTTAATCTTCATCCTATTCAATCAATTTTCTTTTCAACAGATTCTTTTTTCTTTCAATTTAAAAATAACCTTTCATAAACAGTTTACGATGTTTCAAACAGAGAAGTCAATATTTTTTTTTTGTTAACTTTACCGTACAGCAATTTACATTTAAAGTTATTATAAGCTAATATGCGTGCTGGAAACGATACATCGCACAACTTTTACTTTGCTGAATCATTCATTTTTGTTGCAGTAATATAAAAAAAATTTGTCTTTAGTTATTTTTTCACTTCTTTGCGTTGATACTCAGTCAATGTCGTTTGCATATCAGACACTATGCTTGCAAAAGTTTTATTTAACATAATGTCCATATGTATTTTATAGCACTTTCAAGGTTTGCTGTAAATTTTCTTCTTTACTACACCTGATCGATTGAACGACACTTATTTGCGGTTATATCAAGCCGATAATTGAAAAAAACTTAAACCTAGCAGCGTTAAGTTTCAGACAGCTTTATTCTACAAAAGTTTTATACGACTGCTGATAATAATACGAAGAATACAAGCAATGAAATTTGAATTACACTGCTGTTTTTCACTAACTGTTGCACTTTCGTTAAGAACGTAAATAAAAATGATTTGTAGTCATAGTATCCAGTTCAATAACTGTACATCAGCGGTCCTTAATCTTAATTAAGTTTATTGGCTTACTTAACGGATCTTACATCTAAATTGTATCTCTGTGTGTGCCTAACTTTCCTTGTTTTATTGTAGCTAAAGAGTGTAGGACTTGGGAAAAGTCGCTAACCACAACTGCTCGATCACAGCAAAATGTTAATTTTTTAAAACAAAAAAACATCAAAATATTTTCAGTATACGACGGCTCAATGTGTGAGGAGGTTTTACAGTAGTTATAGATGCTTCAAAGAAATCCTTTTTTTTTTTTTTTTTTTTGAAAACTAAAGTAAACAGTGATTGATGTCAAAAAAAGCCAGTAAGATGAGCTTTATGCTCAGCCGTGACCAAAAATAAAGCTGTTTTTTAATTTGTGGAAACTACTTTAAATAAATGCGTTTTTCAAGAAAAAGAAAACAGCATTAAACTTTTATTTGCATACATATGATATTATATCAAATATTTTCTCGTTATAAATACATTATTCCCGAAAAAAAGTAAATATTTTCG